TTTGGATATTGTCATTTTTTTGCTAAATGTCCCCATAACGTAGGGTTACATAAAAGCCACTGGAAAAATAGCATGCGGAGGCTTATAATGCAAAGAAATCATCTCCAATCCATCGTTATTTACAATGTAATTCATACACAAAACAAAAAAAATACATTTGCACCAACCAAGCAGGCCAAATCAATAAAACTGGTCACTCATATCAGGATTTATAAACAATTAACGTCGTAACCTAAGTATGTGCGCAGCACTGCACACTTTTTCCTGTATTCACTCTTTTATGTGAAACTTTAATTAAACAGAATGATTGGATTCTCCACCACAGTTTAGGATTCTTCCTACCATTAGCCGTCATGATGTTCTGCTACGGTTTCACCATGTGCACGCTTTGCTGCACACGCAACAGCCAAAAGCAGAAGGCCATGCAGGTCATGTGCGTCATGTTGGCTTTTATCGTCTGCTGGCTGCCCAATAATATCGTAGAGTTCATAGACACCCTGATGCGAGGCGGCCGGGTGATGGAAACGTGTGAGCTGAGGTACAGCATAGATGTGGCCTTGTACGTCACACAGGCAATGGCTTTCTCTCACTGCGCAATAAACTCTATCCTGTATGCCTTTATTCGGAAGAAATTCCGCAACCAGCTTCTCACGTCTCTCTTTAAGAAAGGCCTGTTGGGGAGAGAAACGTTGTTGAAATATCGAGTGGAATCTGTCAATAGCTCTGGGAGCACTAGGCAAATGTTCAGAAGTCCACCTCCTTCTCCTCAACCAGGGGCTTTGATCCCTCGAGGACCACACCAGTGAGTTTTTAGATCTTGCTCACCAAACCCTCTACCCATCAGTGGCCTTTGTATTCAGAGCCACAGCATGAGAACCATGGCCCTTCGGCTCAACCTTAATCCTCCGAGGCCAGGTCTCGGCCCATTGACCCTTTGGCTCCACCATAATCTTTTATCTTTTCAGCTTCACCGGGGTCTTTTGTCCTCCTGGCTCCTGTTACTAGTTTATTTCCTCATTTTGGTCTGTGTATTTGTACCCCATTTAGTTCAGTTCAAAAGAACAACATTTATTTGAAATAGACATTTTTTTGTAACATTATAAATGTTTTTGCTGTAACCTTTGATAAATCTAATGCATCCTTGCTAAATAGTATTAATTTCTTTAAAAAAATCTTACTGACCCTTAACGGTATGTCAAATTTTATTTGTTGCCTCCATTTGTTTCCGGGCATGTTATTTTCCTCTTACTTTAAAAAATGTACAATTTTCAATTTCATTTTCAAACGTGTTGATTCTGCTTCACAGGTGCAAATAAAGTTCCTTCAGAAAAAAACACTTGTACATTAACGTCTGTTGAGAAATCAGTCTGCTCTGGGTCAGGCAATGCCATGATTTCACGAATGTCTCCACTTCTCTGACAAAACAGGAACAATAACAGAGAGAATTGAGGCATCTTGGTTTCCTCCTTCACAGGGCAAACAGACATGCAAAATAAAGTTACACTTTATATGCCACTAAAGAAAGTGTGTAAAAGTGTTATTAAATTCTATTCTTTAAATTCTATTGAAAATATATTAATCTGAATTATTTTTAACCAAGGGTTTGTTCATATATAATTTCCTGATTTTTGTAAGGTTTTGTTTTTAAAAAAATGGAAATATGCTGTGGTCAAGCTCAGATACCTGATAAGACGAAATAGACATTTTTTTGTAACATTATAAAAACTCACTTGATAAATCTAATGCATCCTTGCTAAATAGTATTAATTTCTTTAAAAAAATCTTACTGACCCTTAACGGTATGTCAAATTTTATTTGTTGCCTCCATTTGTTTCCGGGCATGTTATTTTCCTCTTACTTTAAAAAATGTACAATTTTCAATTTCATTTTCAAACGTGTTGATTCTGCTTCACAGGTGCAAATAAAGTTCCTTCAGAAAAAAACACTTGTACATTAACGTCTGTTGAGAAATCAGTCTGCTCTGGGTCAGGCAATGCCATGATTTCACGAATGTCTCCACTTCTCTGACAAAACAGGAACAATAACAGAGAGAATTGAGGCATCTTGGTTTCCTCCTTCACAGGGCAAACAGACATGCAAAATAAAGTTACACTTTATATGCCACTAAAGAAAGTGTGTAAAAGTGTTATTAAATTCTATTCTTTAAATTCTATTGAAAATATATTAATCTGAATTATTTTTAACCAAGGGTTTGTTCATATATAATTTCCTGATTTTTGTAAGGTTTTGTTTTTAAAAAAATGGAAATATGCTGTGGTCAAGCTCAGATACCTGATAAGACATCATAAGACACTTGCATGAATATGATATTTTTAAAGGGCTAAAGTTAGCAGCTGTTCACATGAGGATGCCAACTCGAAATATGTTAAGCTGATATCAATTGTAACTGAGTCCAGTTTCTGTAATTTTATGAAAGGATGGAGTGTTTTCAATTCTCACAACCCAACTAACAGCACAAAGCATTGCAGAAATTGTTGCTGATATTTGTATTATAGGCTATGTTTTTATTATATTCCAAATTCAGCAACTGACAATGTTATCTGAAACTGTTTAGAATTTGTGCTGAACTACATTATCAAAGTGAACTACAAAGGGAATAATATGTTTTTTTTTTACTAGGCCTATTTAAAAAAAAATATATTTTTTTTTAATTAAAGCTGCAAGCAGCGATGAAAGGGCCCTCGCACCCGGGCTCACTCGGCTTTAGGAAAACAGCAAACGGTGGCAATATGCATTTAAAGTGGTACATATAGGAGGAATATGTCAAAGTCATTTATATGTGCCAAACTTCCTGCTGCCAGCTGGTGGCGCTATGATTATAACTGAATGTTGGCATGTAGATGTCTTCAGGCCAGGACTCTTATCAAACATGTGAAGTCTGGTGCAGATTGAACATATGGAGGACCGAGAGTGCCACTTAAAAATAAAATGAAGAATCAATTTATTGATTTAATAATTCAAACATAAAAATGTATATAAATAAATCACTTTTTAAATGGACAAATTAATAGGCACATTTAAAACTATTTAATTCAAGTTTTAAAACGTGGATTAATAAAACAATAAAAAGTACATTAATAAATCTTTTTAAATGCACATTTTAAATCCCTTTTTAAAAATGCATTTGCAATCGTTTTTCTCTCTCTATTTGCCAAATGCTTTTCTTTATCCGTTTGTCAATCGAGTTAAAAAAATGCCATTGGACAGTACACACATGGGAGCAACCAATCAACTTTCGCCTCGATTTGTAGAGCCAACCCCTCTCTCACTTGTAAATGTAACACGCACTGTCATTGGACAGTGAGAAAAGCTATACGTCATTACAGCGGGAGTATGAAGACGGATTCAAGCGATGCAAACTTTTTATTGTTTTATTAATCCACGTTTTAAAACACGAATTGAATAAACGTCTATTTATTTATACATTAAAAATTTATTTTTTAATTTATTGTTTTATTAAACTACATTTAAAAACACGAATTAAATAAACATCTTTAAATATGTCTATTAATTTGTCCATTTAAAAAGTGGTTTGAATTATTAAATCAATAAACTGATTTTCTTTTTTTTAAATGGCACTCTCGGTTCTCCATATGAGCATGTGGCACGTCCCAATTCGCATACTATCCGTCCTAAATAGTATTCGAAAATAGAATTAGTATGTCCCGAATCATAGTATGTTTTAAAAAGTATGCCAGAGATTCCCGGATGATCTACTACTTCCGGTTAGAATTGGAAGTTCAGATCGATGCACACAGCTGTGTCTCATTTAGAAGGCTGCGCCCTCCGGAGGTCGCATTCGAAGGCTGCATACGTCATCAAGACTGTCTCATTTCAGAAAAGCAAGTAGGACACTCCGAATGCGACCTTCTTTTACAGGAATTCGGAGGATGCATGAGGTGTATCCTTCGCTGCTACAGATAACCCACAATTCTTTGCGTCGCCGTAAACAACCGTTGTTAATTTGAAAAATGCCGGCGCCGGCAGATGTACATACAACCGCAGATGTTGTGTTTACAACTTAACTTAAATCGCCTCGGTAAAAACGGATAAACTTTGTTTTTAATATCCTCCTCCTTTTTTTCTCTAACAGATGTCTTTTGTATGTACACTACAGCTCCTCAAACATTGAACAAAATAAAACAAGTAAAAGCATTTTTTTTTTTCAAATTACTTTCCAAATTTAGAAATAATTTTCCTTCATTTAAGTAGTGTGAGAGCGCAACGATGCTCTAAATGTCTAACGACTAGTATTGCCCACAACACATTGCGCGGTGGACGAGGATTCAATTAGAACTACAAACACGCATTAAAAGTGTTTAAAAAACTACAAACATGGCGGATATACGCGACCAACGGACAGGTATGGTGTGTTCAAGTCATGTCCGATAGATCGTATTTACGAGTTGAACGCACATGAATGCCACCACAAAGTCATTATTACAAGTGGGAAACTCGAAATTTTCTTTAAGCCCCGAGTTGGGGGCGTGTCAGTGAGAAACATGGCGGAATCGATGGATGCAACGTCTGTAGTTGATGGTAAATTTGTTTAAATTGATAGTTTAGTTGTCCTATAAACTTAAATGGGTCATGTTCTTGTTACGCAGCATTTGAGTGATAAATAATCAATGTCTAACCTGATGAAAAAATGTAAATTTAATGTTATCCACGTTATATTTCATCTGCAGCAACACTGTGAACTTTTATAAGGATACGTTTGGTCATTAACTTTTAAATGCATCCTTATGCAAACACATGAGCAGAGTTCTCGGCATGACCCGCGACTAGCAGATCAACGTACCCCTTAATTTCTCTTCAGTACGGTAGGACTGCGCACCGGTTTGAGCTTGTACTTGCCCCAGTATTCTTACCATGCTTTTCAGAAACGCAGCTCAGATCATAATGACTGTCTGTGCGCCATGGCAGTAATCAGCCAGCAGATGGCGCTAATACTCTCAGCTGACAAGATCAGCTTGCAGAAATAGAAGAAGAAGAAGTAGAAAACACATGCAAGTGCGCTACATGTTTTCATATTTGATCCAACGTAAATTTTCTACTGGAAGAAAGTCTATACTATATCACCAGATGTCTCAAGATCGGTCGTGACATTATGATCATTCGGCGTTTCAGTTAAGAGAGAATCAGTCGACGTTTCTCATCAGTTAACATTACTATGACCTACAGAAACACAGACTGATATGAGCAGGATCAATTGATCTTCTGATGTAGATATGAAGCTCAAAGAGCTAGAAAGCTGCCTTCAACAGGTGGATGGATTTGAGGAGCCCAAAATACAGCTGGAGCAGTACCCCACCAGTCCGCATATAGCGGGTGAGCATTATATACTATCATAGACTTAATTATGATACTGCTAACTAATGTCAGATGTGTTTGCGAATTTCTGGATGTGGTCTGCTTATGTATTCGCATTAGCATTCTTGTATACTGTTCTCACGATTCCTGTAGTATATACTGTGCGCAGTATGCAAATGTTCTGTATTCATATCTGAAATACTGCGTTAGGTTACTGTATCCCACAATGCATCACGCTTGTCTTGACGTTTCGTTTGTAGTGTGACAAATGATCAGTAACTAACTATATTTTTCTTTGCTCGTTTTTTAAAGAGGTTTAAGTTGTTTTAAAACATTTTACATAAAATAAAAATGTAATTGTGACTTTTTATCTCTTAATTTGGACTTTATTTCTCACATTTCTGAATTTATATCTCACAATTTTGAATAAAAAACCTTGCAGTTCTGACTTTTTGTCTCCGAGTTGCGTGTTTATCTCATAATTCAGACGTTTTTTCCGCAGAATTGCGAAATAAAAATTCTGACTTTATATAAAAAATATATATTTCCTACAGTTAAGCTCAAATCTCACAATTCTAACTTTTTTCTCAGAATTGCAAATTTATAACAAAATTTTGACATTATTTCTCGCAATTTTGAGTTCGCTCACTTTTTATATTTAACTTGCAATTGTGCAAAATAAAGTCAGAATTGTTGTAAACTCGCAATTCTGAAATGAACTCGAAATTACGAGAAATAAAGTAGATTTTTGAGAGAAAAAGTTTTCCTCTTTATATTTTTATTTTGTGGCACAAAAAGGTTCACTGTAGCCACTTACTGAATTAAATATGCATATAATGAGGTCATGTGAAACAATGTGACATACTGATTGAAAACTTTTTATCACTGCATAATGTATATTGCATACGGTTTAAATATGCTGTTTAAATATACTAAAAACTACTTAAAATATACCGTTTAAAAATAGTAGGCATTATACATTTTAGAAATTGTGTATGAATATTGAATTCATCATTTTATTGAACATTTGGGAGTCTTTTGTCTGGGACAGATGGCTTGAGTGCCCTATTTGTCTTAAAGGGTTAGTTCACCCAAAAATGAAAATTCTGTCATTAATTACTCACCCTCATGTCGTTTCAAACCCGTAAGACCTTCGTTCATCTTCGGAACACAAATTAAGATATTTTTGATGGAATCTGACAGCTGTGTGACCCTGCATAGACAGCAATGCAACTGAAATGTTCCCAAGCCCAGAAACATAGCAGGGAGATCTGTAAAATAATCCATGTGACATCAGTGGTTCATCCGCAATTATACGAAGCTACGAGAATACTTTTTGTGCGCAAAAGAAAAAAAAATAACGACTTTATTTGACAATTCGTTTCCTCTGCATCACCCTGGTGCCATTTTGGAGAAATGGTGGTCTGCGTCACGCCGGATCTGTTTCCAACGTTGTTGTGATTGATCTGAACGGAAACAGCGTATCCGTGTGATGCAGCTGACTCAGAGCAGCATACGCTGTTTACGTCCAGCGGATATTCTCCAAAATGAGTTGCTGTCTATGGGAGGGTCAGACAGCTCTCAGATTCCATCAAAAATATCTTAATTTGTGTTCCGAAGATGAACGAAGGTCTTACGGGTTTGAAACGACATGAGGGTGAGTAATTAATGACAGAATTTTCATTTTTGGGTGAACTATCCCTTTAACATAATTTATTATGGCATAAGACACCATCCAGTTGTTCTATGTGTTCTCACTCACTGTAGGCTGTATGTTGTACACCATCCACAACACATTTGATGACATACAGAATAAACTAGTTGCAGACTTGGGCTGTGGATGTGGGGTTCTGTCTGTAGGAGCTGCAGTGCTTGATGCTGGGTAAGACCAACTCCATCCTTCCATCCGTGGCCTAGAATTACTCTAGTTTTTAAAATAGATCTACATAACTGCAATCTTTCCTCTTAAGACTGTGTGTCGGATTTGACATTGATGAAGACGCCTTGGACATATTCAAAGGAAATGTTGAGGATTTTGAACTGTCAAACATTGACACGGTCCAGTGTGATGTTTGCTCTATTGGATCCTCTTACGCCAAGAAGTTTGACACGGTCATCATGAACCCGCCATTTGGCACGAAGCACAACCAGGGTAAGGGTCATCTTAAAGTCAACAAGCAGTGATGTTGACATAATCTGATGCATTTGCAAAACTGCCAGAATAATACCTGTTGTCGAACAAGTTTCCCATATTCCATTGGTTGATCTTGATTCATGTTACTATATACATATCTTACATTTTAGGTATTGACATGCAGTTCCTGCGGACAGCGATTTCCATGGCAAGTACAGCAGTGTATTCCCTTCACAAGACCTCAACACGAGATGTAAGTTGCCATATTACGTCATCATTTCACAGCTACATTTCAGCTATATTCATAAGAAAAACTTACAATTGAATTGCATTTTCATGCAGCACATTCAGAAGAAAGCAAATGATTGGAAAGTGAAAATGGAAGTCATTGCAGGTAATATTTAGTGAATCTATTGACGTACACTATAGTTCAAAAGATTGGGAGAGAAATATTAAAAAAGACACATTAAAGGCACAATATGTAAGTTTTCGCCGCTAGAGGGCATGTTTTCAAAACAAACAAACAAAACAAAGGCGTAGTTTGATGACGCCGTGACTGAGTGTGGAATCATGGGAGTTATTCGTCTTCATCCCCACAGCCGACGCAATCCGACGGGACTCGGGCAGAAATCATGTTCATGGATGAGCTAATGATTTATTAACGTCGTAGTATGAAGCAGGGTGAGTTACATATTGTGCCTTTAAATTAGTCAAAAGTAACAATAAAGACATTTATAATGTTAAAAGATTTTTATTTCAAAACAAATGTTCTTTTGAGTTTTTATTGATCAGAGAATCCTGAAAAAAAATGTTTCCACAAAAACTGTTTCCTGCATTGATAATAATAAATGTGTCCTGAGCTGCAAAGCAGCATATTAGAATAATTTCTGAAGATCTTGTGACACTGAAGACTGGAGTAATGATGCTGAAAATTCAGCTTTACATCACAGAAATAAATGATGTTTTTAAAAAATATTCAAATAGAAAGCAGTTCTATTAAATTGTAATATTTCACAATATTTACTTTTTTTTTTTTACTAAATTTTTTATCAAATAAATGTAGCCTTGGTGAGCATAAGAGACTTCTTTCAAATAAATAAAAAAATCAAATGTATGAAAATCTTAAGCTAATTTTAAACTGTAATACTATTTTACTATATTTCTGTTTTACTATATAATTTTATCAAATATATGCAGCCTGTATGAGCTTAAAAGACTTCAAAAACATTACAAAATCTTACCAACACAAAACTTTTAAACGGTGGTTTAAGTTTTATTGTCTGAACACCAAGATCATAAAGGATCTTATGCAGAACCCTGTAAGTTGTAATAAGCTTTATAGCACATTATAATATGATGTTATTTATCCTCAACTGGTGTCATCCCTTCACAGAGCTCAGATATGACCTGCCAGCATCTTATAAGTTCCACAAAAAGAAGTCGGTAAGTGAATGTTTTGCTACTATTTGCCACAAAAATATTGCACTGGACACATGTAAACACATTTTCTCAGACTTTACAAAGACAAACTAGTAACATGTTTTTTTTTTTTTTCTATCTTATTATTTTAGGTTGATATTCAAGTGGACTTCATTCGATTTACTCCAACATAAACGGCAAAAAGGAATTTGTGTTGCTTTGCAAAATATTTTTATTTTTTTATTTTTTTATATATATATTCACTACCGGTCAAACGTTTGGGATCAGAACGATTTTTTATGTTTTTTAAAGGAGTTTCTTATGCTCATCAAGGCTGCATTTTTTTGATCAAAAATATAGGAAAAAATGTAATATTGTGAAATATTATTATGATGTAAAATAACGTTTTTCTATTTTAATATACATTAAAATCTAATTTATTTCTGTGATGCAAAGCTGAATTTTCAGCATCATTACTCCAGTCTTCAGTGTCACATGATCCTTCAGAAATCATTCTAATATGCTGATTTATTATGCAAGGATGTGTTCAATTGTTAAGAAGTGATAGCAAAGATTTATATTAGAATAGATTTTTATTTTGAATAATTGCTGTTCTTTTTATCTTTTTATTCATCAAAGAATCCTGAAAAAAATATTTGGCAGCACAACTGTTGCCAACATTGATAATTCTAATAATAAATCATATCATATCATATTAGAATGATTTCTGAAGGATCATGTGACACTTTATACTGGAGTAATGATGCTGAAAATTCAGCTTTGCATCACAGAAATAAATTATAATTTAAAGGATATTAAAATAGTAACCATTATTTTATATTGTAATAACATTTTGCAAGATTACTGTTTTTTTCTGTATTTTTGATCAAATAAATGCAGCCTTGATGAGCATAAGAGACTTCTTTAAAAAACATTACAAGTCTTACTGATCCCAAACTTTTGACCGGTAGTAAGTATATGTGTATTATATATATATATATATACACACTGTTCTTTAAAGTACACTTTTATAAATGACCATACTGCATATCTGTAGGATTTACAAACACGCTTGTTGAAACTTTATTTAAATTTGTGCTTTTCACATTTTTGCCAGCATACACAGTTAATAAAACATCACAATAACTAAAAAACAATAAATTACACATCACACATATTTATAGTAAAATCCTGGGTCTTACAAATACAAAATCATCCAAATAAATAATACTAAGGAATAAATACATTTCTTGATTTAAAAACAGATTATTTTTTTGCTGCAAAATATTACAGTCTACAAAAAGGTACTGTGCAAATAGTGAAGTGCTGTAATCTATTGTGCTGTTCAGTATATATTTAGAAACAGCCCTTTATCTTCCAGCACAGATAACATACAAACTGTCTCACACATTATCAGTGTTGAACAAATATATCATTTCGACATTACACTCACCAGTTTAGAATAGCGGGGTCCAAAAGTCTGACATTTTCAGGATAACAATTCAAGTGATGAATTGAACTGAAAATGAAGAATTCTTATTGGTTTGTCTCACTTTTGGAGCTGATGTGAACAAAACCTAATGCCCATGTTCTCCAGCATGATTTGAGATGCTCCAAAGAGCATCTTGAGCTTCAGTGGACATCTATACAAAGAGTCATGTAATTCATGTGACAAATTTGCAGGGTTCCTACGCAGTATGGAATTTGATTTTTAGTCATTTCCAGGTCTGGATAAGTATGGAAAAATATCTCTTTCCATATCTTTTTCCTTGTTTACTAAAATATCAAATTGATCATTTCCAAAAATAAATGTCATATTTTTCATCATTTGGAGCAGCAGTCTGTGCAGCCATAAGTATAGTAAATGTGCCAGTGGATTTTTCACTTTGTAAGTATTTACAGATAATGCTGAAAATAACCTAAAATAATGTTATGTGGATGAATACGTTATGGGTGAGGATGTGAATGGAGTGATAAATGGTAGCAAACATTATACTGGATAGCATATTCTGCTATTATTTTGAAAATAATATTTTCTCATACATTTCTAATGTAATCTCTGACAATATAATTTTTTACATTTAATAAATTAATCAGTGACATTATTTAGTGATACTATTACTATTTTGTATTCATTTTAACGTATAATATGAATTAGAAATATTCCACAGGTTTGCAGTCAGTGTGATTGTGTGTTAAAGGGGTCATATGATGTTGCTAAAAAGAACATTATTTTGTGTATTTGGTGTAATGAAATGTATATGCGGTTTGTTTCAAAAAACACATTATTTTCCACATACTGTACATTATTGTTTCTCCTCTATGCCCCGCCTTTCTGAAACGCGTCGATTTTTACAAAGCTCAAAATGTGTACATGGCTACAATATTCCACCAATTATTTGGCAAAATAATAGCATACATACGTAGTAAACATGTTAACAGCTGGATTTTTAATTCATTTATCAGATGAAGTGGAAAAACATGAAAAAAAAAAAATCAACAGAAATGTCTGGAATAGTATGGAAAAATCCACAGAAATCCATACCGGAAAAGTATGGAATTTTTAAATGGAAAATATGTAGGAACCCTGAATTAGTGCAGAATCTGAAGTATTGCCTGTTCACTTTAAAACATTTAACAAATAAATAAAAGTGGTCTCAGACTTTTAGACCTTACTGGAAGTGGCTCCACAGACAATGATTTTGCTGTGATTTCACACACTGAACACACACACAGCCGATGGGAGGTTTCCCACAATCTCCCAGCAGTCGATCTCAGGGTCGCACCTCTCTATACTCTGCAGATACGTCCCTTTAGAGTATGAATACCCACCTGCTACATAGATGCACCCGTTTATAACGGCTGATCCGCACTCCATCATCGCACACGGGATCATAGCAGTCTATGATGGTGGTCTGACCACCAACCAGATAAAGCTTATTGTCCAAGGAGACCGAGCAAAGGCCGTACTCTGAAAGTAAAGTCTTGATGTGTTTTTCAAAATGACGAGATTTCTGTTGTTGACGTAGAAGGCAGCAACCAACCTATGGTGGTTGTAGCCTAAAGATCTGAACCGTTTAACTTATCTAATACAAAATGTAGGTGGCTCACCAGGATGTGGACATATCGTTGTGATGCTCCACTCACTGATATCTGGCCGGTAAGTCTGAATCTTCTCATAAGTGCAGGTTCCTCTGTACCCATAATGCCCTCCGGTTGCATAGACTGTCATTCACCACGCAAGCAGTTGCATTTCCCACACCTTTAAAGTCAAAACAGAAAGATGATGAAATTCCATCAACAAGATTTTATGTTTAAGACAATGCATTTTCCAACATTTATGTTTTAAAAAGCTGAAATCCTGGTGTAGCTTGATTTTCATGCATTTGATTTTTTTATATTTTTGAAAGAAGTCTCATGCTCACTAAGGTTACATTTATTTGATCAAAAATTTTGTAAAGAAAAAACGTAAATATTGTGAAATATTACAATTTAATAGAATTGTTTTCTATTTGAATATATTTTAAAATGTAATTTATTTCTGTGATCAAAGCTGAATTTTCAGCATCATTACTCCAGTCTTCAGTGTCACATGATCCTTCAGAAATCATTCTAATATGCTAGAAAGTTTAATGATGAAAATAGAAAGTTTAAAGTTTAAATGGAAAGTTTAACAGAAAATTATAAAATAGGAATAGAATTAGAAAGTTTAAAAGAACAGCATTTTTTAAACATTGTAAATGTCTTTATCGTCACTTTTAATCAGTTTAATGCATCCTGAATAAAAGCATTAATTTCTTTACAAAAAAAAAAAGTCAAAATATTTGCCAGAAATTTAAAATGCTATTTTTATGTTTATATTATATTATATTTAGTGCTGTCAAACGATTAATGCAATTGCAAATGACAGGACTGCATTTAAGTATGCAGTCTTGTACTTTTGTAGATGCCAGTCTTAGATTTTGTAGATGCCTTTTAACCGAAGTATTTTTTATTTTTTTGAAATCCCTAAAAAACAAATGGGGGGGGGGATACTTCCAGTCACTAAAAAGGTCTCAGAACTCCTCCTTCAGGCAGCCAATGCAACAGTTATGTGTAAATAAACTGAACTTCTCATACCTTGTATCATATCAGCCACAGGAAACCATCTCTTCTTCAATGGATCATAGAATTCAGTTTCTTGCGTAGGAGCTCCTGCCGTATATCCACCAATGATGTATATGCATCCACGTAAAGCCACGGAGCAGTGGTAATATCTGGCTGTGATCATGGGACATCCTTCTGTCCATTCATGAGTCTGTGTTATAAATCCACACGGTGTCTAAAGCATCCACAGTCTGTGTCCTGTATCCTCCAGTCACATAGATATTAGGGCCTAGAAGTGCCACGCTATAACTCTCTTTCAAAATCAGGCACGTCTTTGCCCTGAACCCATGTGTTGGAAACGGTCCCACATGTGGACTTCACACAACGGATGCCAGTAATATCCACCAATAACATACAAGCTGCACGTTAGTTTTTTGCAGCACTGTGAGAAACCTTTGCTCGACTTTAAGGAGGTGAGAATTGAAGATCGCCGTTTGTTTTCAGAGCAATGTCTGCGTAGATCCAAAACAGTTTTGAGGTAAGCATCATCCACGTCGAGATGGATGCAGTTGAGAAGCTCTTGAAGGTGGTCTATTCGAGGAGCCGTGTCATGGGCGACCCATTTGACCACCGTGTCCAATAAAGTTGCTGCTTTCCACACATTGAGGTTTTCTGTAGCTAATATCATCAATAGCTTTTTGGAAATCCACTTCTAGGAACTCCTCCTGAAGTGTGAGTTCTTCAAAGCGACTCAGTATGATCCTCAAAGCCTCGCGCTGCAAATCAGAGCACATGTGAAGCTCGGCGAACGAGTGCATCCCGAGGCAGTTATCAACATCCAGCAGACGAATCAAAAAGTTCTCGCAGGCTTTCTTGAGCGAGTTGAACTGCAACAGGTCTGCGGCTTCCAGAAGACTTTGGACGTTGTTCTGGGTTATGCTGATCTTTAAAGTGTAGACGTAGCTCACCAAAGCTTCCAGAATCTCTCCGTTTATGCAAGGTAGGTTGATGGTGTCGTTCAAACGTTCTCTCATGTCTAAGGTGAACATTACCTTGAAATAGGAGCTGCGGGCTGATAGGACAGCCTTGTGGCAGTGGCAGAGCTGTCCGGATGAAGACTGCAGGGTGACGTCCGTGAACAGACCGCTGCTGTGAAACTCATGAAGAGCTTCC